AGAAAAGAAAAGAAAAGAAAAGAAAAGAAAAGAAAAGAAAAGAAAAGAAAAGAAAAGAAAAGAGATAGCTTGGAGCTGTCTGTCATGTGTCAGTCTGGTGCTCTCCCTACAATCCTCGCCACGGTACTGGTTTCTGTGGGGAAGCCGTGTTTCTTTCTGGCATGTGAAAGTTGTGGGGTTCATCATTTGTTTGCTACCCCTGCCGATAAAAGCACCTTTGGAGGTGGCCCTGTCTCCCTGGCGAGCCCAGGGCTGGCTGGCAGGAGCGGACGTGTCCACAGTCCTGTGTGAGAGTGGGTGACAGGTTTGTCCCGAGCCCAACTCGGTGAAAAGGATGCGGGGCTCAGCAAAAGCAGTGGTCGAGGAGGCTGGCGGAAAGGTGTCAGGCGTCTTGAGTGAATCGGCTCTTGTGTTTAACAGGAACGAGCGGGCCTGCAGCCTCCCATACAGGCTGGTGTCTACAAAGGGACGGTGAAGGCTGAGCCGAAAAGGCAATTTCCAGATAACTGCGGCTCTACTTTGGCTCTCACTCGTGGGCACGGAGCAGTTCCGTGCGAGGAAAGGCTCCTGGGCAGAAACCGCCGGCCCACACCCCGTTCCTCAGCCAGTCTCTGTCACAGCTAATGAAATGAGCGTCGCAATAAAAAACACCTTTTTATTTCACTCATGTTTCCCAAAGATTGTGTAGACGCTGCCAGTCTCGCACGCTGCTACACAGAGGGGTGAGGCGCTTACCGAGGGGGTCCTCGGCAAAATGACAGCCGGGCCCGGACCGGAGTGAAACCCCGGCCCTCTCCGCCCGGCGGCAGCGGAGCAGAGCAGAAATTTGGGTCAGCTCATCTAAAACTTTTCACCACAGCTAAACGAGAGAGAGCTGGCAGCAGGCAGGAGAAACGATCTCGTCGGCCCAGGGGCAAACGTGAGCAGGCGATTCGCTCCTCCTGCTCTGACTCGCAAATGCCAAAAAAAGCTCCTCTCCCGATCGCCTGTTTCACTTCCAAGGTACTACAGTGCTATTCGCCCTGTGCCGAGGCTGTGTAGCCAGTATCTGCTCTGACTTCCAGCACGTAGGAAAATTTTTCTCTTTCCCTAAAGATAAAAGCAGTTATGCAGAATTTGGATCCAGATGTCACTAATTTACGATTGCTCTAGGACGCAAGCTGATACAGGGTGCCCGGGAAGGAGGTAGCCCTGCCCCTGCCCAGCTCCCTGGGAAGTGAACTTACGTTCCATGCGAGCTAGTAAGGCAGCCTAAAGTGAAAGCGTCTACGGAGGAGCTGCAGTGTAAACTGTACTCACATTTTGGGGTGCTAAGAAGACTCTTTTTCAGGTCTAAATCTATGCAACAGGTTTTGACATCTTTTCAGCTAGGGCTAACAGCTGCTCCCGTTCAGATTCAACCACTATGGTTGTGAGATAGAAAGAGGGGAAGAAGAGTCAGGTATATCCCTAATAAACGTGAGGCGACCGAGCATGGTAGCAGGGAGGCGGGAGACACAGCTCAGCCCTCGCTAGCGCTTTTCATTATTTCCACGGTCCCAATTGCGGGAGGGAGCGGAAGGCACACGGTGTGTGCGCGCAGAGGTCGGGGACGGGAGAGGAGATTTGTGGTTTTGTTGCCTTTTCTGCTAGGGCAGCCTTTGAAGTGGCGCGGTTGTCCCGTCCCGTCACTGCTCGCTACAGCTGCGGCTGTGAACTATCCACTCGCTTAGGCTGGCTAGGAAGAGCTTGGGATCGGGATGCTTTCGTTTACAAACAAGCACAGATCCTGCAGAGATCGGCTGGAATCGAGGCACTAAGCAGTCGAGAGCTCATTTTGTAAAGGAACGGAGGGAGCATCATGCGGAGGGACCCGTCACCAGCATGCCCAATTTTGTTTCAAACGAATTTGAGCTGCTCTTTCTCGACCTGAAAAGGAATCCTCTCTTTTCCGTCCCCGGAGGATCCAGGGCGGGAATCGCCCGCTTGCCGCTGTTTCCTTATGGCAGCACTCGTGAAAAGGCCGGACGGACAGGTAGGAGGACAACTCAGCTTCCCCAGCGGAGTGCACTCGAGAAAGTACGGGCGTACGCCGCGGATATGCAAAGGCGTTCGGACATGCTGGGAGATGGACACGGTTGATCCGCTGCCCCCTACCCCGCCCTCTTCCTCCTCCTCTTCCTCCTGCCTCACTCCCCCGCGCATTTCCCCCGGCCGCAGCCCTGGCGCGGCTCCTCGCCG